ATACTTGATCATAGAAGCGCCTGTAGACTTTGTGATCTTCATGTGCTCCTTTATCTTGGCTGCATCCTTCTTTATAGTCCGGATCGTAGATTCGTTCACACCATGCTGGCGCGCCAAATCAACCTGCCTTGTTCCTTTCTCCAACTCTTGGATGATGGTATACTTCACCTCGTAGCTTAAGGAACGTCGTGTCTTCTTTGGCTTAGTGCCGCTGGGTCCAGGTAAGGAAAGGTTTCTCTCTGGGGGTGGTGGTCCGGCGGAAGCCATTTTACGGAACAATGGATGCGCGTTTACACGGTGTGGCCTTGAGGGATGAAACTGCCGCGGCTAGGTCAAGCGTCGTCTTTCCTCCCTCCCTCCCTCCCCCGGGTGGACACGTCATAATACTTTAAGCCAATTACAGCTAGCAGCAGAGGGGGGTAGGGATGCATGGCCAATCACAGGTCTGATACGTCATATGACGTCAGTGATAACGCAACAAAGACACACACTGCGCAACCTTACCGCGCCGCTTGCCCAAGCGGAGGGAGGAGGAGGGAGAGGCAGGCAGGCGGGCGGGTGGGGCGAATCTAAAAATAGCGTCGCGCCGGACACTCTCCGCGTAATGGGGTTCACGTACCGCGTAATGTGAGCACGTGAGGTTCTGGCAAGGCACCGCGTAAACGTGGAAACGCGGAATGCGGGACCGCGTAAAGTGAGGGTTAACTGTATATATATATATATATATATATATGTATATATATATATATATATATATATATATATATATATATATAAATATATATATATATATATATATATATATATATATATATATATATATATATATATATATATATATATATATATATATATATATATATATATATATATATATATATATATATATATATATATATATATATATATATATATATTCACATCTTTAGGGTGAGTACAGACTAAGGGAGAAGTACAAAACAAGGTACTATATATATATATATATATACAGAGGAGGGTGAGATCAAGTCCACAATGGTCAGGTATCAGGTAATGACCCTACTAATCTTCAAAAAGCACCGCAGCAGCAGAGGGTAAGCGCGGCCAGACGAGAGAGGGTGATGCACCATAAAAAGTAGTTCGTGACAACGCAAAACGACGTTGTACCGAGTCATCGGGAAGTTAAACAAATTATTAGTATCTAAAGATTAGCAACTTAGTACCGAAACAACGTTAAGCAGGCCAACGTTATACAAGGACTTACTGTATCTTATTCCCTCACCTTTGAAAGAGATAGAAAACTTTTTTATTAGATTCAGAAATGGTTAGCTTGCAAGGAAACCCATAAGTGCACTAATGTTTTCCACTGAGAAGTTACCTGCATATACTTATCCATGAACCTTAGTGTATGTGTGAAAATAAAGGTAACAATGAATTTATATCAAGTCATTAGCTCCACCACCCTATGTACCTTTGTAACAAAAAAAAAATGGTGCTTGAAAATACAAGGATATAATCAAGAAAAACAGGAAGGATAACTGAAACAATGAATGAAAGGAGCCTGGATAACCTGGCTTTGAATGCAACACACTTAAAAAGCAAAGAGAAGTGTGCTTGGGGCACCTAAAGAACATAAAACCAGGAGTATTTGAAAGGATGAGAGCAGGTGGTGTGGCATTGCTGACATGATGAAAAATGTGCTGAAATACAAGGTGGTTAATCTCAGAATATTACAAGCCTGACTAAAGTGGGATATTGGAGTGCTGATGCTCCAGTGAGAAAAAGATGATTTTGGGAAGACCCCCCAAATTTATAAATTTCACTGTATAGGTGTGGGGTTATGTGATATTTGGTTCACACTCAGGATGGGATGGAGAAAGGAAACTCACAATGTGCTCTCTGTATACATATTGTATTGGATGTACAGTGCAGCTTGGTGATGGGAAGTGGTAGCGTGGTTACAAGCGTGATGTAGAGAGAGCTGGTTGGTGAGGGTGCTCAGAGGAGGACCAGCTTGTGGGTCGCCATGGTCGCCGGCGGGAGCGAGGGCCGCCAGGCAGGAGCGGAGAAGGAGGAGGTGTTGCTTGAAGACTGGCTGTAGATAGAAAGAGGTAGGTCACCACGAGGTGAGATCTTATATAGCGGAGGTAGGCATGGCTTAATAGTTGACCTCCGTCATGTAAGGCGGCGCTGGTTGACCTAGACCACGAGGCATACACTGGGGAATTCGCGGGGTCGGCTACTCAGTGACAAAAGCGTTTGTAGGGGACAGAATCCACTACATAGGTACTGATAACAGATCTAAATACAAGGGTGAGCTACAGGTAGCAGTAGGTATTTTGTGTAATAGTGCCAGAAATTAATGGAAATGGGGAAAGACCAATAGAAATATGTGCCAAGAGAAATTGATAAAAAAACATGTAGAAAAAAAAAAAGTATAAAATAGGCAAATCTGTATTGCATCAGCCACATATAAACTAGTTGCAAGTGCCATTTAATCATTTAAATCACTACAGGTAAATTAGCATGTTCATGAAAGCACATTTGTTTGCTCTTTTTCTTATGCTTTATCAGTAGTCCACTATTAATAGTTCTTATATTCATTTTCATAGGCTTTATGATAGGTTTCATATTGAATTTAAAAAAAAAAAAATCCACAAATCACTCTTGCACAGATTAATTCCATTACCCATTCACACTTTTGTACAAATTATTATATCTTACATTACCATTACATCGTTTCAAATATCTGGGAAAGAATGTGTAAGCAAATGGAACAATGAATGATGACTCGAGAGAAGTAAAGGGTAGGAAAGTAATTTGTGCATTAAGAAATGTACATAGAATGTACCTGTAGTGTGTAAAAGAATGCAATTTTGGTGGTGTATAGAGAACCTGTTGCACTGACATTACAACAGAAAACTATTTGGGGAGTGAAGAAGGAACTCTTGACTACAAACGAAGAGAGGAAGGAAATTCAGAAAAGAAATGGCAAAGACAATGCAGAGACTTAAAAAATTAAAGAGAAATGAACAAATTCCTATGGTGGAACAAACAAAAGAAATTATTGGTACAGTGTGCATACAATAATCCAGTGGTGGATGTGAGGAATGTCAGGAGAATGATAAGATCAAGGAGATAGAAAAAAAAAATATGAAGAATGTTCTAGAACCAAGGAGAGAGGGGGTGGACAAGTAGGAAGCAGCAATTCATGTGAATGATACAGAATATGGTATCAAGTGGTCTGTGTTTATGTCTCTGCGATTAAGTAAAAGAATGTACAAGTGTAAGAAATCTGTATTTGCCGTTTGATTCTAATCATGTACAGTAGCATAATGATGAAAGCTTAAAAAATTATGTTTTACCATTTCTTTAAAAAAGACCTAGAAGCCAAGAACTTTGGTATCCTACATACAAACTACCCTTTAGACCATTTATAATTGGGTCAGCTAACCTAGGAGCAGCATTCAATTATTTTGTGTATCAGACTGTCCTAGAATACCAAATCTCAATAAATTTAGCATACTTTATCCAAGTGTTGCCCATTATCCAAAAATACAAGCCCTACACACACCTAGCTTTAAGAATATATTGTAGTACTTTTATTATTACATATCAGAATATTATTATTTGGGTACATAAACAAGGATGCTGATAGTTTAAAAACATACAAAAAATGTATGAAGTAGACACACAGTGGATGGATCCAACATAACTATTGTCTTAGTATTAATATTTTTTTGTAATACCTGCTTTTATTGTACCACCAAAACCGTTTCATCAGAAATTATCATGTAGATAGGTAGAAATTAGCACTGCAATAAATATATTTGCCAACTTACATAATACCGACAGCTCTGTCCTCTAGTTCCACCTTTATACAACCCATGTTATACTGCTTCCCTCCCTTACCATATTTATGTATATCAACTCCACTGTAAGTATGTACAGCTCCTCCCTGACTTACGACCACCCGCACTTACGACCTGCCTCAGTCGTACCAAAATTTTGTCAAATTACGTATTTTCGAGTCCCAACGTCAGTACACAGACAAAATTTTCGTTTGTAATTCACTTTAAAATGGCTGGCAAGCTTAAAAGTGAGAGTTTTGTGGTGCTAAGAAGAAAAGGACACACCCACTTTAGATTTTCTGTATTATTTAAGCATTTTCGACTTACGTCCTGGATTTGGGTCCCTAACCCCGTCGTAAGTCGGGGAGGAGCTGTATATACTTATAAAATAAATGTAAAAAAATTAATTAAAGTAAATAAATATTGAAGTGATAACCGTGGTAACATTCTGATATATTATTACCACCATGCATTGTGTACTATTCCAGATGATACCAAATGTTACACAAGACTTCCTCGAGATAAATGTTGCACACAAGGTGGCCCAGTCATCAAAACATTACCAAGTTCTTCACCAGCCACCCACCACAGCCAGCCCAAGTCAGTGATAGTGATAATGATAGCGAGGATATGGACTTATATGGACTTTGAGGGGTTTGACAAAGGGGCCCTGCAAGCCTGTGGTGGATAGTGATACAATTGATACAAGTGATACAGGTGAGGGCCAATAATCCGCCCTCTGCCTCGGAACCAACCCCCCATTCCCATGTGACCAGCCATCTTTTCTACTAATGTAAGTGTTAAAAAACCTAATATTATTGATATTTCTCTTAATTATTAATTGTGTGTGCATACCATCATAAAATTAAGAAGTTATTTTTACTACAACGTAGGTATTGTGTCTGAAAAAGTGGTGTTTGGGGGTCGGCCCGGTCTCCATTTCAATTAATCCCATATGTTATGTTGTTCACTTTACGCGGGCCGCCGTGGGTTCAATTGACCGCGTAAAGTGAGGGTTCACTGTAATATATATCAGGTGCCTAAAAGAGAGCTCGGGCTCTCAACTGGCCCAGCTATGTTAACATTATGACTTTTATCGACTATGTATCTGTGTTCTTCTGACTAAGTAAACTGTTAACAAAAAATGGGGTACACTGTAAAATGGACATACAGTATTAACAATAATTTATTTTGGGTTATCTACAATTCTTCATTACAAGAGCACAAGGCTCTATATACACTGTGTATCATACAATATAACCATCTTAAGAAAGGAAGCTAAAAGAGGAAGCACACTGCTCTCATAAGCAAGATTTTCCTCTAACTCAAGATACAACAAGGCACTCTAAAAGCTGCAAGAAATTAAGGACCCCTTTATTACATTTAATACCAACAGGTCAGAATTATCTCTAATATATATATATATATATACTGTATATATTTATTTATTTATTTTAAATATAATAGAACAAACAAAGAATGCAGCATTTGGATCTTCAGTAGCATTGAAGTTTAAACCATTCAAATACACTAAAAATCAATTATTTTCTAAATGTCTTTTACCATAATTCTCAATGTGCTGCATCCTCATCTTAATAAAATTGCAGCATTTCACTATGAAGTACAGTACTGAATTTGTAAAAAAAATTATTTTATTTTATTAGACAATGAGGAACATACCAAGAAAAGTGATTTCAACATTTCAACACAAAATGTCATACCTAGGTTGTGAGCTTAATAGTAGAGATGGGTCATTTAATCATCCTCATTATACTTCATCAAAATTTGTTTTATGTGAAACCAAGTTGAATACTTTCCTTTCATAGTCTAACATATTTGGGTAATATTATTGCACAAAAATACTTTAGGCATTAAAAATGCCATACTGATTGAAAGACTTCAGCTCCCATATACAGTAATCTATTTGACCTTCCCTTTCACCTTGAAAGTAGTGCAAATTACTTGACATTAACTTGGAAGAAAAGCTCAATGCAATTGTTCAGCCAGTACAGTACTGTATATGTAACTGCAGCAACTAATTGTCATTGTAACTGATATGAAATGTAACTTTAAGATTCATCTATAAAATCTTTAACAACCCCTGTTTAGACTAGATGATGTGAATTTAACAAGTTAACCACAACATAAAATATATTTATGAGTTTATGAAAAATTGGTTGTATAAAAAGAACAAACACATTTGTGAGCACCATAAATATTGCATGATACTGAACAGCTGATATGGTTGTGGCCAAACAGCTGTCCAACTTCTTGCATATTCTGGCTCAAGCTGTACAGTGGAATGTCAACTATTTCTATCAAAACACAACCAAAACATAACTAGTATGTAACACTGTATTACATTAACTGCAGCTATTTATACAAAACTAGAGGCTTCATACAAAATAGGACTTATATGTTAAATGAACTACAACATGTGACTACATTTCACACAGGACAAGAACTGTCTGTGTAGCTGCAACTTTTATCACAGCCCACCTCACACAATGAGGAACTTCTATGTGGCATTGGTACATTACATGACGATGCTGTGTACAAGAGGTAATTGTTTTTGAGCCAGTTCAATGATCCAAACAATTGTGCTTTTGCAGCCTATTTCTTTATGACCGTTCAAACTGAACTTGAAAATTATTTTAGAGCTCTGTGTAAAATCTTATATTCATGCATTTTCACCTGCTTGCTACTTCCTCCTCCTCTTCACTTTTTACATCAACCTCAATTACCTTCAGACTTTCATCCTCTTCACTTTTTGCTTCTCTCTCCTCACACTTGCCCATACTCTTTGTTTCACCTTCCTCACTCTTGGTATCACTCTCCTCACTTTTTGTGTCACTCTCTTCACTCTTGGTTTCATTTTCTTCCTTTTTGTCATTACCAAGTCCAGTTTCTGCTTTACTCTTTTCCTTCAATGCTTTTGCATGACCCTTCTCCAATTCTGCCCTCACACGTTCAATTTCTTCTGGGGTGATCTGAACATACAGGATGCCATTGATGATATTAAGAAGTTCCAATACACTGCTCATGGACGGTGGCTGTATTTGAATTGGTGGGAGGCCAAGAGTGCTACGACCATTAAAAGCCTCGCTTATTTTTTTAGCCATGACAACTGCCTGCTGTGTTAGGTGTCGCAAACATTCATCAGCTTCTTTTGTTTTCTCATGCTCTGGTCCAAGTTGACTCTTGTATATTGTAAATGTTTCTTTTTCATTTTTGAGAGCTCCCCTGAAGTCGCCCATGCAACTTTGTGTTCGAGCAACAAGGTGATAACTGAGAGCAACTTTCAAGCTTCTATCACCAAAAAATTTTATATGGAGTTCCAAAGCTTTTTCCAAAAACTGGAGAGAGAGATTATACTGGCCTACAGCATGGAGAATCAAGCCAACATTGGAGTCTATTAGAGCCATTTCTGGATGAACTTCACCATGAATCAATAAAAGCAGATAACGAGCACGGTACAACAGTTTTAAGGCAACACTCACTTGTTGGTTGGCAAAGCAGTAGAGTGCCAAATGGGTGTATTCTGTAATGGTATATGGATGATCTATACCATTTACTCTCTCACTCATAAGTACTGCCTTCTGTTGGAAAGACATGGCTTCAACATAGTCACCCATAATGAAATTTAGGCGAGCCAACATGCGAAGGCACTGTGCTATTTCTGGATGCATTGCACCATAAACATTGTTCAAAAGATTTAAGGCTTCACTGATGAGGTCATAACCATCTTTTAGGAATCCTTGCTGTGTCTTGGTCTGGCCAGCTGTATACAAGTTGAATGCATCGGTAGCTCGAGGATTGATATGCTTTACAATGGGGAACACATTGACTATGTCTTGCTCATGGAAAGTCTCCTGAGATTTGGTGTCAAAGTTGTAGTCACGCAGAAACATCTGAACACCAGATTTCATACAAAAGGTTCTCAAGAGAGATGCTTTTTGGAGTCCATACTTCTGAACAGTGGCATCTACTGTCTCTGTCTCCAGAGTCCAGTCATAATACTTTTCAAGGTCTGACTTAATGTGAGCCCAGAGAGACTTGGGTGAAAATGTTGCCCATTGTGAGAGACTGTTGTTGCTGAATGGGTGCTTCTTCTTTTTCTTTTTTGAAAGAAGCTCATCATTCTTATTGGAAGCATGAGGACTGATACAGGAAGAAATGTAACAGTTGAGGAAGTGAGCAATAGCTGATGACAAGCAAATTGTTTCAACATTTTGGAGATAACTTGTAAAAATATGCTTAACAGACCGTGCAATAAGTTCTCCAACAGCAATGGTATATACATAATCTAATTCAGGGACTTTGGCCAAGAGAACAGCAACCTTTCCTAAGTAGCGAATGTTAACTCCCCGTGTATGTAAGGCCTCACACAGAGTAGTGCCATCAGTGGGAGCAGCAGCATGGTCTGTGAGATCATGCACCAGACTAGGCAATTGTACACTCACTAAAAATCCTGCTGCATCACAAATTAGCTGTCGCTCCTTTTTGAGCTGCTCACCTTGTGGATCAGCATGCTGAACTCCAGGGGAAAAGGCATCCAAATTAAACCTTACATCAAAGTCAGCTTCCTTTAAAGATCCCACAGCTGCAGCAGCTTTTTTAATGATATCCTTGGTGTTTTCCTCTACCTGCTTCTCTGCAGCAATACTTTCGGTCACATTCTCAACTATCTTTTTTGCTTCTTCAGCTTCTATATCTTTGTTGTCCTTCACTTTTTCACTTTCTCCTTTCTCCTTGACTGCAGGGAGCTTAGCGGCCTCTTGCTTTTTAGCACCAAGCTGTTGAAGGTGAAGTGCAGCAAACTTGAGGAACATCATGTAACGATTATCCACAAAAGCATCCACCAATTCCTGCCTAAGAGTTGCTAATTTGTGCTTGTGAGCAATAGGGAAACCCATCTCCAGGGATGCAGCACTTAACTGAACCTCTTCCAAGGCCAAAAAATTTACATCTGGAGGAAAAGTGCGTAGAAGATCAAGGATGTAGTGACGGCCATCATTGCCAATGATTCCCTTGCATTCTACTGATGAGCAAAGCTCTATCTCTTCACTCGTTTCATTTAAGACTTTGTGAGGAAGAATTTTTAATTGTTGAGCAGCTTTTTGCAACAAGTCCATGTACTTTGGATGAGTGACCACAGTTTTACCAAAATCTATAGAGCCATACACAACAGATTGCTCTTGTTCTCGCTCAAGAATGCCAGGGATGATGGACTGGGCTGTAACACGATAGCCCCTATAATCAACAACCACTGTGCCTAAGGTGTAAAGACCCTCTAAATCCGCTGCACTGTAGACACGCACACCTTGTAAGTCATTGCGTGGCGCAACATGTGCAGCTGCATCTCCACCCACTTCTTTATAATGATCCCGGACATCAAATCCAAGACTAAAGAAAATATTATTCCAAATAAACATTTGCATCTTGGGGTCTTCCCCTGGGTTAATTGCCATCACATTACCATCAATGACTGCCATGGCACCCCTTGTTGCTGCTGCAACAAAGTCACTGTGAACCTTGAATATAGCACGCTCCCTAAGAAGGCGCTCAGGCAAGGAGCGACGTACAAGTTCCCTAGTTGTCTGCAGTTCTTCATTCCAGTCTCGTGTCTGACCTGGAATGTGCTCCTCATATCCCAACTTACTGCTGAAAGCATCTTCTGCACGGAGTGCATCAATACCATGATCCAAGGGGGGTGATGCCCATGAGTACACTTGGTAAGGTGTGGCCACACGCTCAAACGGATGTCGAGATGTTCGCTTCTTTTGCAAGTTGGAGAAGTTACGTTTGAAAGCGTTAGACAACAAGCAGAGCAGATCAATGAGGGAGTGGCATAAATAGCATGGGTTTGTTGGTTTTGGGTTGAATTCCTCCTCTGTTGTTCTGAAATGAGCATGGAAATTAGCATATGGTTTAATCTAGGGAAGACAAAAAATAAAAATAAATAAAGGAATGACTATTTAAGAAATACTAAGTTAAAGGAGTAAAATTACTGATCAGAATCATAGACAAGGAAGATTATGTCATAACTACCCCAGCGAGGAAAATATTTTTGGCAAATGCCCGACACTATTTCAAGTGAAATCCATTGTCAGAATTCAGTGAAAATAATACTGTGGCAATTACTTAAAAATATACTGTATTACTTAAAATTTCTGGGTTACTTGAATGACTAGTGAACAGCTCAAAACAGATTCAGAAAAATTATTTAAGTAAAAATAAAAGTTTCTTCAAACTGCAGTAGTTAACAAAGCTCATCAATCACTACTACCCAAGTCTTAATTAAAACAATAAATGCATACCTAAAATTATGAAAGCGCAAAAGTAACAAATTGCCACCTTCTGGCATTGTAACAAGAATGGCCAGAATCAGGAGCAACAGATACTGTAGTCCCTAATTTAAGATCATCAGTAAAAACATTTTACACGAAAGAATCTGGTTAAAGTAAGGTAAGGTAGGGCGGTTGGTCTTAATTGTAAGACAACGAGTCACTGAGACCCGGCGGGTGGCTCCTCACCTTTCTCAAAACGACTTAAAACCTCCATTTTTGTAGCAAAGCTAATGGTCTTACGTAGCATCAGTAGCACTTGATGGGCACTTGGAAGCCATTTTGAATGGTTAGAGTACAGTTTTAAGAGCAAAAACACAAACACTGTGGTAGCCTGACAAAGACTGGGGATGCTAGGGGACACTGTGACTCTCCGCGGGTGAGAGCGTAGCACGTCAATATGAGATGCACCATACAAAGTAGTCCGTGACGACGATGTACTGAATCGGCGGGACGTTATCCGAATCATGGGTATCTAAAGAATAGCGACGTTATAACTAAACAATGTTATCAGGGGCAATGTTAAGCGAGGACTTACTGTACTTATATTCAAAAGAATTACAATTTTCAAGGAAACTCACTGGGTAACACTGGGAATATAAACAGTGAGGACAGACCACTGTAATGTCATAAACTTTAGCTCCACCTGTTCAATGTCATGCTAGTGACACACGTCATCTGGTGACTTGGGGGCAGTCACACAATGTGATGGATTTGCCTTGGTTGACGTCTGATTGTTAAACTTTTTGAGAATACTCATAAGGCTAAGGCTTTTATGTGGCCAGGCATAACAAAAGAAATGCCTTATGTTCTCATAGGCCACCAAAAATTAAGTGATAAAGAAAAATAGACACTGGAAGCAGCGGGATTTCGCTGATGACATGGACGAAGCAACTCATTTTTTTGAGCTTATTAACAATGCAAAGATTTTCCTTTGTCAGACATGGCAAGGTGAATGTCTGAGGGTACTCTGGACAACTGGATATTTTCTTACTATGTATACCCTGTACTTAAGAAAATAGAGCAAGTTTCCCTAGGCGTTAAGCATCACGATTGCCGCATTTAATTAAGTGATGTAACTCTGGTTTTTCTTCTATTTTGGGCAATATTATTGTTTTCTTTTGTCAGACATGGCAAGAACAATGTCTCACAATCTTCTGGATGATCTGATATTGACTGACCTTGCAGAATTAAAATACTACAAGAAATCTTCCCTTGTGTCTTGAAACAAGTGCGGTGTTCAAGAGCTCTTTTTGGCCACATACAGCAAGATGAATATCTCACCTTCCTGTAGATACCCAGATATTGACAGACATTCCAGAACTAAGGAGATACAAAAGAAATACGAAATCTCTTCAAACAAGTTCTTGGCTACCCTAATTTGGTGTTTATCTTATCAAGAGCATTTGCAGGCATTTATCCATTTATCACAAGTTTTCTTATTTCTGGGAAATCTATAATACTTGATGTGCTCTCTGCTTTAGATTTGAGCATTGCTGGTGCACCCGTATATTGCACAAATTACCATAATTGTCGATACACTGGTCCCGGGACCAGACGCGGGCACTCAGAGGTCACCAGATGACGTGTGTTTACAAGTGACGTCACCAAGCTGTGCAGTGTGGGTAAAACAACTGATTGGTGAACTATCCTCACTAGTATTTTATCCTTGGGTAATAATGCCTCCAAAATGTCCTTGCAAAATACAATAAATCTTTAAGCAGTTTGTTAGCGAGTGACAATGACCTTTAACTGTATAGCTCGCTCACTCTTTATCTCCCACACACACACACACCTTTGAGAGGGACTGACGATGCCTACTACCCAGCTCAATATCTACCCATCAAAAATCTTACAACTGTTTGTTTAAAAAAAATTTACCATTTAAATTAAATCTTTAACAATGACACATCTTTGACCCTGTGATTCCCTAAATGCACATCTGTGACTGGTACTGACAATGCTAATGTAGATTTAATCCTTTCAGTCCTACTTCTGTATCTCATACACTAGGGACCAGAGCCCTACACACATATAATTCAAACTGATGTTTGTCACCTCATTTCAATTATCCTAGAGCAGCCATGAGCTAGATAATGATACTGTACCATATATCACCAGTAGTTATAATTCACCTAAAGTTCTCATAATTTCAAAACTGCCAATTACTGTATTAAACCTTGGAATGAAAACATTGACCACGCTTAGGAGTGAAAGGGTTAAATTGGTCCATACAAAACTAAGGCAACTTGCACTAAAGTAACAGTACAGGAACCCCCCCCCCCCCCAAGTTGGGGGATTTTAACTTCACGGTTCTCGGTTATTCGGGGATGACACCCTGGATGTACCCAAGAATGTCTGTGGGTACTTTCAAAGTTGCTGGCATTTATGCAGCCGAGACAGAGAGCCATTCGTTCTAGAGACAGCAATTTCCTTTACCTATATTGTAAATAATGTGTGCATAGACACACACACACAAAACACATACAAATAAATAACAATTGGAAAATCCTCTCACAAATAACCAGAAACAAATTTATTAATAATGAGTCTACTCTCAAGTACACGCTCTATTACAGTACTTTATTAATAGAGCACAGACTTGAGGGTAGTACGGTAGTCACATCTTTAATAAATGTTTCTGATTATTTTTGAGGGGGTTTTCTAATTATTATTTATTCGTACAATATGTGTTTTGTGAGTACGTGTGTGCGAGTCCACACACACATACACAATACTATAGGTAAAAGAAATAATTGTCCTAGGGCAAACACACAGGCAATGTATGTGTCTTTGTACACAAGTAAAAATGTACCGCCCCTCCCGGGTTCGCAAAAGTTATTCACGGATTTGGCGATTCGCGGCCATTTTGAGAACCTAATCCCCGCGAATTTGGGGGCCCCCTGCATTACTGTATAGTAACACCCTCAATTAGACAGACATCATCTCTTGGCCAAAAGGTAGCTGAGGCGGTAGAATTCTTTAACATTCTTGGGTGTGGTTAGGCGCTCTCCCGCGAGATACTTGGGGGTCTGGCCTGTTACTCACCTCACCGCACTTGACTGCACATTATGAGTCAGAGCAAACTTGCTATTTGAAATAAAAAGCTGGGATTTGTTGTATAAGCATTGTAAATAAATTATCTACAAACTGTTTTATATATATAATCACAAAAAAATTATCATTTCTAAACTTAAGTATTAGTAGAACAAAATTTTTGTTCACGCTTTGTTTGTACACCAATTTATACCTCGTTATTTTGTGGAATTGCAATATGAACCGTATTCCCTTATAAAGCATTCATATTTAGGAGAAAAGTTATAGAAGGAAAGTTGTGAAAAAATTTATATTTTGCAAGGGAGAGGGCTCAGGATGCACCACACTATCACCATGTGGTGCAATCTCCTTGCACTTTCACTTTTCTCACCCCTCCACCCTCGACAGCAACACGAGGCATGGTTCAAAACTCTCAACACTGCTATGAGTAAATGAAATCCCTGTGATGAACAAGAAATCGGCACAAGCCGCAAGAAAATGTGTGGAAAATGTAGGTCAAAATTATATCCTGGGTCCTTTAAATAAAAAAGGGAAACTGGTGTGGTGACCTTGAAGTAAAGTCTACATAGTTGCCAATTGTGTGTCTTGCATGTCTAGCATTCATACGCAAATAATTTTTTTTTTACTTCATACACAAATTTGCACATTAAAACACTAAAGCAATAACTTAGGCCATATGCAACTTTGTGTATGAAAACCCCAAGAGTGATAATACAATTAAATTCTGAATACAGCTCCTCCCCGATTTACGACCTGCCACAGTCGTAGCAAAATTGTCAAATTACGTATCTTCGAGTCCCAACATCAGTGACTGCGCTGTGTACTGACAATTTTTTCATTTGTAATCCACTTAAAAATGGCTGGCAAGCTTAAAAGTGAGGGTTTTGTGGTGCTGAGAAGAAAAAGAGACACCCATTTTAGATTTTCTATGTATTATTTAAGCATTTTTTACTTACGACCTGGATTTGGGTCCCAAACCCCGTCGTATGTCAGGGAGGAGCTTTATATATACATACATTAATATTATACAGTAACTATAATGACATTGATATATTGTACAGACATCCATCCCCCGGGTTACAGAAGGGTTCCATTTCTAAAAATCTTTTCGTAATGTGAAACCATTTTTCCCATATACAGTAATGTACAGTTGTACCCCGCTTAACGCGGTTTCACTTAACGCGATTTCTCATATACGCGGTACCTCGCCAGAACCGAACTTTCACTTAACGCGGTTCATCTACCCATATATGCGCAGAGTGTCCGGCTCGAGACGCTATTTTTAGATTCGCCCCACCCGCCACCCGCTGCCTCGCCTCTCCCTCCTCCTCCTCCCTCCCCTCCCGCCTCCCTCCGCCTGGGCAAGCAGCGCTGTAAGGTTGCGCAGTGTGTGTCTTTGTTGTGTTATCACTGACGTCATATGACATATCGGACTGTGATTGGCCATGCATCCCTACCCCCCTCTGCTGCTAGCTGTAATTGGTTTAAAGTAATATGACGTGTCCACCCGGGGAGGGAGAGAGGGAGGAAAGAGGACACTGCCGCGCTAGTTTCATCCCTCCAGGTCACCCCGTGTATACGTGCATCCATTGTTCTGTGAAATGGCTTCCGCCGGACCACCACCGCCACCAGAGAGAAACCTTTCCTTACCTGGACCAAGCCACCCTAAGCCCAAAAAGACACGTCGTGGCCTAAGCTACGAAGTGAAATACCAGCTCATTCAAGATTTGGAGAAAGGAACACGTCAAGCTGATCTCGCGCGCCAGCATGGCGTCAACGAATCTACAATTCGTACTATTAAGAAGGATGCAGCCAAGATTAAAGAGCACATGAAAATCACAAAGTCTGCAGGTGCTTCAATGATCAAGTATTGCCAGAACAGGGTGCTGGTAAAGGTGGAAAATTTGCTGGCGAGTTATTTGATTCGTCAGGCGCGACGCAACATGGCGGTGGACACGCGCTCAGTGCAGGAGTACGCACGTGAACTTTACGCAGCAGTGTCACGTAAGCTGGGAATTGCAGAGCCCAAACCCTTCAATGCTTCCTCTGGTTGGCTGCATAGGTTTAAGAAGAGGAACAAGATCACCAACATCAACATTGGTGGTGAGGAAGCGAGTGCTGACCGTGTGGCGGCTAGAGATTTTCCTACGTTCTTACGTGAGGTTATGGAGGAAGGACAGTACACTGACGACCAGGTGTTTAACATGGACGAATCTGGTCTTTTCTGGAAAAAGCTACCTTCCAAGACCTTCGTTGTCCAGTCTGCCAGCAAGGTAAGGGGTCGGAAGTTGCAGAAGGAACCCATCACCGTCCTCTTTACCACCAATGCCTTCGGTACCTGTAAACCAGTTATCGGTGATTCACACAGCCCGCAAGCCGCACGCCTACAAGAATATGGACATGAACAAGCTTAATGTCCACTGGCTAACCGCACGTAAGGCGTGGATATCCTCTTCTCTGTCCCTCTTCTGGTTTGACGACTGTTTTGTTCCCGACGTGAAGAAATTCTGCGAGCAACAGAATGTTCCATTCAACATTTTGTTGCTCCTTGACAACGCACCTGGACACTCGCCCCTACTTATGGATCATCACCCCAACGTAAAAGTGGTCTTCCTTCCTCCCAACACTGCGTCATTAATCCAGCCCATGGACCAGGAGTTGATCTGCAATGTGAAAGCTGCATACTCTGCAAAGAAGTTCAAGCTCCTGAACGATTCTACCAACACCAAGGATGAGTTGCGTAAGCTGGGTGACACCGACAGTGAGAGTAAAAGCGACGAGGACAAGGAACAAGAGGTGGCGACTCAAGAAGTTCTCGTCAAACAGTTTTGGAAGAAGTTTAACGTCAAACAAGCTGTAGACTTCTTGGTGGAGGCATGGGATCAGCTGTCTATTGCTACGATTCGTCACGCATGGAGATATGTGTTGCATGGCATACCAGGTGAGAGGAGGAGTCAACCTGTGACTGGTGAGGTTCAGACTGTTGCAGTAGCAGTGGACCTTGCCAGAGAAGCTGCGCACAATATTACAGCTGAAGGCTTCTCCGAGACCACCAACGAAGACATCCTGGAGGTGTTCAGAGATCCTGAAGTGACTGCCGACGAGATGTTGGAAGATGAGCACGTCAGTGAAGAGGAAGAAGGTGCGTCATTCTCCGAAGAACACAAGTTAAGTCATAGTGATATTAAGGGTGCCATGGAGTGTGCAGAAAAAATGAAGTCCTTCCTTTCCCGCGACAATGATGATGACCGCTATGAAGTCTTCCATACCCGGCTGGTGCAGGCTATGGAGCCGTACATCACGGTGTATCAAGACAACATTAACACTAGCCGTCAAATAAGCATTAACGAGTTCTTCGCCCGCAACCCACCACAGCCAGCCAGAGCCAGTGATAGTGGCAGTGAAGGTGACTTTGAGGGATTTGTCAGGGAAGCCCTGACAACTGTAACTGATAGTGATGTACCTAGTAATGGTGATTCACCTGAGGGCCAGTAATCTGCCCTCTGCCTCGGAAGCAGCCTCCATCCCCGTATGCCGACCCATCTCTTCTACTAACGTAAGTGTTCAACATAACTTTTAGTTTTCCTAACCTTTATTTTTCCTAACCTAACCTCTTCTATATTACTTGTTTGTTCATACCATCATAAAGTTAAGATAAAATTTTTACTACAACATAGTAGTGTGTCATCAAAAAGTGGAGTTTGGGGGTCGGGCCAGCCTCTATTGGAATTAATCCCATATGTTCTGTTGTTCACTTAACGCGGTACCCTGTGGGTTCAATTGACCGCGTTAAGCGGGGTACTACTGTACTATACTTCCATTATAAAAGCTGAGATGCATTCCTGTGGAAATTTTTTGAGGCCCAAAAATGTGACACAAGCACGTATATGTATGAAATAAGATGGTTTTAACCACATACAATGAATCATTCATGATGTAACATGATAATAAATGAACAAAACACTAAAATTTTACTTCCCAGAAACGATGTTGAGTGCTGCAGGAGGTGGTGCGATGAGGTGGTGCAATCAGAGTTCTAGGAGTTACCTCCTTAAAACACCAAGTTTAATGTCCAAGGTAATTCCTTTATAGAATCTTTTATCACCACTGTTTTCACTTGAACTGGATGGTCTGTTTCCACTTCTCTTAAATAACGGTACACAGTACAGTATACTGAACAGACTGGGGAAAGAATCCAAACTGACCAGCACCATTGTTGTGGTGGGCCTGCTATCAGCAGAGGTGAGCTGCCTGTCAGCCATCTTATAGCTACCTCCAGAATCCACAAGAAATAAATTTTATAATTTGAGATTTTTTTCTTCTATTTTGCAATTTTTCTTTTGAAAATCTTAATAAATTAACCAAAATTCCACGAGGGAGAATAAAGTCTTGAACACAGACGCATAACTGAACATAAGCTGGGAAAAGAATTCTAACTGAGCAGTGCCATTGTTGGGGTGGTTGCTGGCAACTGGGGAGGTAAGCAGCCTTCCAACAGTCTTGTGGCTACCACAAATAATCCACACGAAATAATTTCTACAATTTTGTAAAAAAATTGGGTTAAATGCTGTCTTTTTTTTTTTTTTATTACCAAAATTCTGTAAAGGGCAAGTTTTTTCATAACCCGAAATATGGCCATAATATAAAAATTCCGTAACCAGATTCCATAACGCGGAGGATGCCTGTACTATATTAACACTCACTTGACTAACAGAGACAGGGAGAGAGAAATAATGAATTATGTATGTACTGATATACATTTGTTATTGCATATTTTAAAACAAAATTAATAAAAAAATCATACTTACTGATTTAGGTAGAAGCCCCAAGTGGAGGATGTAATATGGTAGGGTTTCCCCTCCAGTGTTATCACATACAAATACAGGAGGTCACCATGTAGTTTCCGAGGACCTGGAGGAGGGTTCCAACCACTCATGGTAAGGACCTGTAATGCAGTATACTTTTCTTATTTTGTATAATGGGCAATTTAAAATATACTGTAGAGTACAATGATATAAATCTGCAGATATGGCTCGTCTTTAACCCTCTCTATGTTGAGAACACAGCTATAATGGGGGCTGTTAGCTACAGGCCCAATACTGGTTTGGGGGTGCACATAACTCTGTGATCAGAAGGATTATTCTGGTGTGTGTGTGTTTTCCCCCCTATTGTATAAGGTCTTACTGTAGTACATTAAATCACAAAAATAATACAGAGTAACAAATTACGGTTTAACAAAAACTCTTTGAATGCAGATTATGAGGAACTAAAAGTAAACTTATGGTGGTGTTGGAAAAATGAAGTACAGTAAATGATTAGATACTTTGTTTAAACTTTCATTTGCAAGCAACTTCGCAATGCTTGGTAAAAGACTATGGTACACAGACAAATATATACACAAAACGAGTCCTGATCAGCTGTTAGACACAAGAACATACCTCTACTATATCATTATATGGACATGTCACAAGAAAAGGTTGAAATTTTACTGTACCACTAGAGCACTTTGTAGTCATGTACACTTATTACAAAAAAGTGAAAACATTGATGAAAATTTGGAGGGATATATGTAGAGCTGTGAGCTTGAGTTGAATAATTGTCTTACTGGAGTTTACCATGAATGGTTCTTAGTGCTGTACCTTGAGGCACTGTGGAGTTTTCTGCTCCTTGGCAAATGGTTGCAGGGGGGAGAAGGGTCGCTCTTTGCAGCCTGGCAGGATGTATTTTGGAGGTGTGCAGTCTACTGATTCTACTGGAGTTTTTTTCTTTTCTGAAAAATTAGAAATAATACTAAGTAAATAGTGATAATTCATTGAGAAAAAGTTTGCATTCTTATATCTAAGAAGCCATTTTTCTTCTTTACCGTAGTATCCATTCAGTATAGTACTGTACTGTAAGTAAACAAAATCCAACTGATTCAAGTCATCTGTCATCACAGTTGGTAACATAGACAAAGTACAATAAATGATAACTCCCTAAAATACTGAAGGAAAGTAACTATTTTACAACTCATCCAGGAACCCCACATAGGAGAGCACTTTGAAGTGATGAAGACTTATAATTAAAATTTGGATTTAGAAATATCAGGTTCATGATCTGATTGGACGGAGAGCATTTCAAGGGTTTACTCCCATTATGTAGAAAGGGTCAATCAGTGGGCAAATAGTGTCAACATACTAACCCAGGATATCCCCCTGAGTGACTACATTCAGGAAGGATAAGGAAGCACAGTCAGCACCATTGTAAGCATCTATTGGGTCCAGAGACTTGAGTAAATCTCGTACATGACGAACATGGATTCTGGCCTCTCGTACTGTGTAAGGATCTTCTTGCACTTTTATGATTGATCCTTCCTGCAGAATAAAGTAAAATAATGTTTAAAAGTATCCTACATGACACATGATGACACAAGAATCCTGAAAAATTCACAAGACAAGAGCTCTATAAAGTAATTACAAACATTTGCTGTGAAATATGCCAAATCTCAAGTTACAGCAAACCCCACAGGATCATAAGTCTGGTGGACCTGGGAGCACCAAAGAAAAATATACAGTACTGTACAAGGATGGCATCACACAACGAGATGTTGCTATGCAAACAAGATTACATAGTTAAGTATCATATGGTACAGTAATCCAATATGTCATAACATCCAATAAATATTGGTGTATTAGTATCAATATTATCTACAAATTGGAAAAACAAGAATGTAAATGCTCAAGTGAAAATTGAAGCATCTCAAACCATCATCTTGGGTGTTAAAAATCCACGCAAGGTCGGATGAGGTGAAATCTGCATAACCTTTAATATTGTATATGTCAAGACTATGCAAGATAAAACCAGTGAATAGTGTCAAAAGTGAAAAGGAAAAAACAAATAAGTTAGGAGGTGGTCAGAGAATAATAAGATCTAGGATGATAAGTCTCCAAAAGTGGATGAAATCACAGTTGAAATGCTAAGGACAGAAGGTGGAATAGAGAGAATGGATAACAAATGTGGAGTGAATGTGTGTATGTGACAGGTAAGGGTGACAAAGGAATGACAGAAGGTATCCATAGTTACCCTTTATAAAGAGAAAGGAGATAATGAATAAAATTTATCGAGTAATAAACCTTTGGGGGAATAAGTACCCATAATAATTTTCATTACATTGCCCAGGTTTAATTCCTTATAAGAAAACTTCCAATAAGCCAGCAGTTTTAAAATTCACGCCCAGTGATACCTTGTAAATGTTGATAATGATGAGTTTGTTGTGTTGGGTATGGGCAGGAAGCTATTAAATGGTGTGAGGGGCCGAGCTGCAGTTTGGACAAAGGCTTTTGGGCAAGTTGGATTATGACTAGTGACTGAGGGGGTGGTATCCACATCAGTCTCATTAAGTAAATTCTCAGTTCTCTATGGAAGCTATATTCCATGAGATAGATGTTTAAGCTGGTGCTTCCAAAATGGGATTTGGTTGTAATGTAGTCTATTAATTACAAAGGATGTTATACATTATGTATGTGTTTGGGGGAAAATAGGGGTAGGTTACTTAGGGTGTGCTGTATTTATGTAGTGTGCTATTCTTTTATGGGCCTTTGTATGGGAGGGTGGCAGGAAATGTTATTAATGAGAGAACAATATAAAAAATACCAATTGTATTAGTGGGAGAGAAAATGGGGAAATATAAATGAATGAAAACTTTCTAAGAAAGGGATACATTTGTTTGCAGCATATAGATTCACAGAAATAACATATGACAAGTCTTTATACTAAGTTTAGTATAATCATCTGAGATGAGTAGATCCTTAATTTAAAAAGAAAAAAAATAGACCAAAAGGACAAGTAGAAATCTTAATGTAAAGAAAAATATGTGGCATGTGGCAACACCTCAGTACCATATTGAACACAGCTAAACTGGTGACCATTGTGTTCCATAAGCAACTTGTATGCCCCAGCAGAACAATAGCTTCAATACAATATCGCACATGTGGATGCCGTACTATTTTTATTTCAAACAATGGGCTCATACAGAATGATATTTTCAAGTAGTAATTTTCAATTCAAAGACAAAATTTTCATTTATGTAGCAGGATAAAAATTATTTGTATGTCAGCCAGCAAGACGTTTGGCAAGATATACTCTTAAGAACAGTATTTTGTGCAATATACTGTACATTTGCTTTATTGAAATCATACAATCTATAATAATTATGTTCTCAACTTCAGTTACCACATATAATAGTGAGATAAGACTCAGAAAAGCAAAATTACAGTACTGTAATTTGAAAGCAATTTCAGAAGTCAAGAGTATAGTATAAAGGTCCAGAGAAATGAACAACACTTAAGGCATGTACAATCAAAGACAAAAGTTGTGTCGCGGTTTTGTCCGAAGATTAAATATAACTAATGAAACATTATGAGAGCCCTTCCACAAGGCAGAGCGCACCAAAGGTTTAGCCCTTCGCCATATGTTTTCACCAAATTTCACGACACAACTTTTGTCTTTCATTGTACATGTAAATTTAACACAAATAAGGTGAGTTTTAACACAAACTGATTCAGACGTCAAAACACTGCTCAAAACTTCTTTCCCATGTGGCCAAAGGAAAAGTAATACCCCCAAAAAAATACTGTAAACTGCATGTTAACAAGGCATATACAGTATATCTGAACCTAAGACTAAGTGAGTGAAAGATTACTAAGATAGCTATTAGGTGAGATAAGTTTCCCAAATAAGTTCTAATGTGTAAGTGGTCAACAAACATTTTCATTTGGAAAAGCAAGAAACTTTATGGGGATGGTAAACACAAAAGAAAATTAGTTACTGTACTGTAGTATTAATACTTTAAATGCAAAAAATATTCAAATTTAGAATTTTTCCCAAGGCACTATTTACCTTGAGGCCCTCAATAGTTTTGAGTTCTGCAAAATTATCCAGAGTCTGGCCATTCAGATGTAGGGAGAAGCATGTGCGGTGGCAGGTGTCCTCACGGTCCATCAAGAGCTGGTGAATCTCATATACCAGTTCCATGCTGCTAACCTGATTTGCAGATCATTCATAAGTTATTTTTTTGTATGATGTAGATGAATTGTTAAAAAATCTGAAACAAAATGATTAGTTTCGAAAAATACTCTGTCAGCTCCACCTTATATACAAGGTAAATACAAAGAAATTAGTTTAACTGATATAAAGAAATCTATAAATATGAGAGACCTTCATGTGCATGCATGCATGTGTGCACACAACCATTTTGCAACTATATGCCAGAAACTCCCCAGGCTTGACACAACCAGTCTCCCCACTTACCTACCAGCCCCCTTTCGCACCGACTTAGTGGAAGAATTTGAAGTAGCAAAACATCTGGACAAACTGAAGCTAAAGCACTCCATTACCCCCATTGACTTACCAATGAAACTCCCCGGAACTAGGTAAACCCCTCTGCTCCATCATCAATGCTTCCCTCAGCCAAGCAAGATGCCCAGCTGACTGGACAACCTCTCATGTGCCCAAGTCAACCAACACATATCATTAAATGAACTAAAACCAATTGCCATCACTCCAATACCCAGCTTAATATGCAAAAGTTTTGCTTTTGACTGGGCCTATGCTGATATTGCAGGCGCCATAGATCCTCAGCAATTTGGCAATATGAAAACTTCCTCAACTGCTCACTGTTCTTGTCAGCTTTCTCAACTACAAATACCACCATCTGGAAAAACGAAAGACATCTGTGGATGTCGCCTTTATTGACTTCACCAAAGCATTTGACCTAGTCAACCACAATTTAACCATCAACAAAGCTATCGGCCCCGGGTTTCGAAGAAGTCCTATATTATGGCTTACAAACTTCCTTAGTGACCGACGCCAGGCCGTACGCTTTCAAGGGGCTGCCTCCATTTTTCAATTCACTCATCTGTGGCGCCCTCCAAGGCGCCAAGATGGGACCACTCTGCTTCCTTATGCTTATCAATGATGCCCTAAGAAAAACCTCTGTTTGCTGGAAATATGTCGACAACTCCACCATTGGGATCAGTGTGAACAACTCGACTCATGATTACACTGCTCTCCAGGATATATTGAAGTCTCCAAAACTGGGCCACCAACAACCACATCACCATCAACCATACCTTATACCTTGGTAGGTAGAAGACTACAGGAGTAAACCCCAAACAAAAAATCTGCGGTGGACCCCTGCATCAGGCAGACATGCTTACAGGGCTCCAACAAGACCCCAACAGCGGTGTAGGCAGAAGAGGTGACCACCAAGGAACCCAATGACTACACCGGATGACGAAGGCAATGCATGATGGACAGGCTACTAAGGCGAAACCCAACAAACTGGGCAATCGGCAGTCCACTGCAACTCTCCCTCTCCCCCGTCGTTGCAACACTTGCACCACTGGATCAGGAAAAGGGAGAGCCAAGATGTGTGATTGCAGCCTGTGCTCCTGTCTCACCACATAAATCAACTCACAAGCAGCCATCACCCAGCTCATCATACCTCATCATCATCACCCCCCCCCCTATACCCCCAAAAGTCCTATGGCGATGGATGAATGGCTACGGGGACAGGCAGGGATGACTGTCGGGAGTCTCTAGTCACAACTCTGCACATGGGCGGCACAGATAAGATGGTCGTTTATGCACTGTGACCTAGGCAGCAGTGCAATCCGGTCCTGTCTGTGCAACTGAGCAGCCCTTTCGGGGAGCCACTCTGCTCACCCCACATGAGGAGGGAGCGAAAAAAGGTGCCCTAAACATAGCCTGCCTAAAAACCCAACCTAACTGGGCAACCACACCCAGTAAGGTCATCCTTATGTGGTCGAAAACGAAACCAAAATCACAGATCCAATCAAAAACAATCCATTCAACCTCTTATGGTTGCTGCATGGAATGTCAGGACCCTCCTGGATACTGGCACAAATGCTCATCCTGAAAGAAGAACTGCCCTTGTGGCCAAAGAGCTGGCTAGGTATAACATCGACATAGCAGCCATCAGTAATTCCCGGCTCCCAGATGAGGGCCAACTTACAGAACGGGGATCTGCCTACACCTTCTTCTGGAAGGGCAAGCCTGCTACGGAGAGAAACCTCATTTATGGATTTGACGTTGCCATCCGCCAACGCATCCTACACAGGCTAACTGAAATGCCCATTGGGACCAACGAGCACCTCATGACACTTTGAGTCCCACTGAATTACTCACGTCATGCCTTCTTCATCAGTGCATATGCCCCAACACTGGATGAAGAGGATGACATCAAGGAGGCCATTTACTCCAACCTCGACAGAGTGCAAACCTCAATCTTCAGAGAAAACAAGGTTGTGCTCCCTGGCAACTTCAATGCCAGAGTTGCAGATATGCTAATATTTGACAGGGAACCATAGGGAGAAATGGACTAGGCAAGTGTAATCCCAATGGCCTACTCCTCAGCAAGTGTACTGCACACAACCTCACTATCACCAATACCTTATTTAGGCAGGCCGACAAGTTCAAGGGTTCGTGGCAACACCCACGATCCAAACACTGGCATCTCATCGACTACATCATTGTCAGAGAGAGATCATCGAGATGTCGTCATCACCCGTGCCATACGTGGCTCACACCATTGTGACACTGATCGACTTGTCAGATCCAAGATCTCACTTCACGTTGCCCGAAAACGGCGAAGGCAGCAAGCCTCCAGAAGAGGTTTAAATACTAAGCATCTGGAGGATCCAGTGGTAGCACATGCTTTCAGAGAGCATCTTGAACATGGGCTTATAAACACTCGACAGCAAACAATGTGAATCCCAGTGCAGAATGGGACACTCGTAATATATTTCTGTTATGACAAAAACCTGCAGAGAGACCCTCGGCCAGATCAAAAGAATACACCAGGACTGGTTTAATGAAAATGACCTGGCAATCAAAGTACTCATCGATGATAAGCAAGCTGCTTTTACTTACTGGAAGAACAACCCTCAGTCTCGGATCAAAACCGATACCTTCCGCAAGAAGAAAGCGGCAGCCCAGCGAGAATTTCACAATCTAAAGAGTGACGGACTTAAAAATAAAGCATGTGAAGCACAAACTTGCAGATCAGCACAAGATGAGCAAAACATTTTATGGGCCAGTCACTCATGGCACAGCCGCCCTCCGCTCATCTGATGGTAAACTCATAATTAAAGACGATGAAGGCCTCCTTCAGTGCTGGGAAGAGCACTACCATTCATTGCTCAACCGAAACACCGATGTGGATGTCCTGACTACCCAGCAGGTCCCTCGGCATCCAGAGCTGACCCACCTCAGCTATCCTCCATCCCTGGATGAGATAGCTACTGCCATCAAACAGAGGAAAATAAAAGCCTTAGGGCCTGATGAAATTCCAGCCGAGGTGTATAAAGCAGGAGGACCTCTGCTTAACCAGCCGTCTCCACTCTTTCCTGGAGAATATATGGGAAAAGGAGGAAATCCCCCCCCCCCACAGCTCTTAAATATGCCTCCATTGTCAATATTTATAAGAACAAGGTTAGACCGGTCAGACTGTGGCAACTACCGAGGGATCTCTCTGCTGTCTATAGCTGGCAAGATTATTGCCCGAGTCCTCCTCAACAGACTTCTTCCTGAGGCGGAAAACTTCCTCCCAGAATCTCAATGTGGTTTTAGACCATCACATGGCACCACTGACATGATCTTTGCTGCCCGCCAGATACAGGAAAAGTGCAGAGAACAGCATCGTGACCTGTACATGGCTTTCATCGACCTAACCAAGGTCTTCGACTCGGCCAAAAGGGAAGCCCTTTGGCTGCCCACCAAAATTCATCGCCAATGTGAGGCAACTCCACGATGGTATGAACGGCAGTGTCCTGCTCAACGGCACCCAGTCAAAGTTCTTCCCCATCCAAACAGGGGTTAAACAAGGGTGTGTACTGACACCAACTCTCTTTTCCATCTTTTTGGTTGCCTTCCTTACTCGTGCCAGTGCCAATTTAGCCAGCAGGGTGAACATCGAGTACCGGGTGAAGGGGGGTCTTTTCAACATAAGACGACTCCAGGCAAGAACAAAGGTGTCGGCAACCTCCATTACTGAACTTCAGTATGCAGACGACCTCACCCTTGTTGCTCACACTGAACAAAACCTACAGGAGATCCTGAACACCGACACAGAGGAGTATGCACACTTCAGCCATGAGGTGAATGTACTTAAGACTTAGATTCTCTTTCAACATGCCCCTGGTTCACACACACATCCACCATCCATCCAGCTAAATGGTAATACCCTCTCTAATGTTACCCACTTTCTAGTATCTCACCTCCCACCTGTCCACCACCGCAGACATCGATGAAGAGATTCAACATCAGGTCAGATGTGCATCTCAAGCCTTTGGCAGACTCCGAAATCGTGTCTTCAGCTGTAAGGAGCTCAAATTATCTACAGGGGCTGCACGTATATCAAGCAGTGGTCCTCCCCACCTTGCTATATGGCAGTGAGACGGGTCACACACACATAGGAGGCACCTCAAGGCACTTGAAAACTTTCACCAACGTAATCTACGTTCCATCCTACGAGTTTGCTGGGAAGACAAGAGAACAAATGCCAGTATTCTTGCTGACACCAACTGTATGAGTATCGAGGCTACCATTATCCATGAACAACTACGTTGACTGGCCATGTTACCCACATGGATGACAGTAGACTGCCAAAGCAGCTACTTTACAGTCACCTAACGAATAGTAAACGTAACACCAGACAGGCAATTGAAAAGGTATAAGGATAGTTTTAAGATAAACCTGAAAAAGTGCCAAATCGACCCCCTCATCTGGGACATGAATACTTCACATCGTAATGCTTGGAGGAGCACCACACGAGAAGGTGTCAATACTTTCAAGTTAGCCCGACTGCAAACCGAGGTAGATAAGCGCCAAAGCCGGAAAGACGCTGCCACCGCCCCTCCCGCAGCAGAAGAAGCCCTCCACATGTGCAACAAATGTGAACAACGCTGCGGGTCTCGTATCGGTCTCTTTGGTCACCTCAAAATTCCCCAACCTAGGTGACATCCCTAATAACTCGTATCATTGTATCATAGCTGGATGATTGTCATACTCGATTCCAAGTGACATTAAAGTAGTAGTAGTAGTGTGTGTGTACAACTGTGGTAATAACCTTTTTGCAAAATTCTGTTTGTAGAGTACAGATAAGCTTCCTCACTGTATCTCTCTTTCTCCCTCCCTCTCTTAGTTCTTCCATGGCCTTCTATTCTCTAACTCTAAATACTTTCACCTTCCTCTTTGTCTTGCTCCCCTCCTCCTATTTTCTTGAATCTGTTTCTTTCTCTCCATCCATCCATCCCTCCCTCCCTCTGTCTGTCTCTCCCTTTTTGTTGTTGGTCAATCTTTTTTTATATACACAGCATGGCATGGTATCATTAGTAACAAAATTTTGGCAACATTAAGTATCTGACCAGCGTAAATGCTAGTTTGCCAATGAATATTGTACAGTACAGTTAACCCTCACTTTACGCGGTCCCACATTCCGCGTTTCCACGTTTACGCGGTGCCCTGCCGGAACCCAGGATGCTCACATTCCGCGGTGCGTGTACCCCTTTATGCGGAGAGCGGCTGGCGAGCCGCGCCATTTTTGGATCCAAACCTCCCGCCATCCGCCATGTTGTGTAAGCGGCGCGAACATGGTGCGCACAAGGTCGCCCAGTCATCAAAACATTACCAGTTCTTCACCCGCCCCAAGTCAGTGATAGTGATAATTATGGTGAGGATATGGACTTATATGGACTTTGGGGAGTTTGACAAAGAGGCCCTGCAAGCCTCTGTGGTGGATAGTGATACAATTGATACAAGTGACACAGGTGAGGGCCAATAATCTGCCCTCTGCCTCGGAACCAACCGCCCATCCCCGTGTGCCCAGCCATTTTTTCTACTAATGTAAGTGTTAAAAAACCTAATATTATTGATATTTCTCTTAATTACGGTATTAATTGTGTGTGCATACCATCATAAAGTTAAGATAATATTTTTACTACAACATAGTTGTGTGTCGTCAAAAAGTGGAGTTTGGGGATCGGCCCGGACTCCATTTCAATTAATCCCATATGTTATGTTATTCACTTTACGCGTTTCTCACTTTACGCGGGACCCTCCGGGTTACATTAACCGCGTAAAGTGAGGGTTAACTGTATATATACTGATAATATAATATTTTTTAGCAAATCTTATAATTAACTACATTTTTTATTGATATGATGCAATGTGGCTAGACAATTGATCCTCCAATTCTTACCATTCAAGTGTGTTACATCATTGTCTTGGCAGGAGACAAATGATAATTCACGCGATTTGAATGAAAAGACACCTACGTAATACTTTCACTACTACACAGTTTTGTCCACATCTCTTAATTAGTCTGAATTTGCAAGGCATGAGCAGTGACAATAAGCAGCTGCATGTGGAACAGACAGATTGTGGCCAAACATGTTCCTGGTGGTTATGTTTGTGGATACAAGTTCATTTGATATTGACAATTAAAGTCACATTTTAAAAGGAATTCAATCCTTCTGTTTGTCTTATACAGTAAAGGACTTCCAAGATTACTACATCAAACAAGAAAGGTCTTCCCACTGACTTCTTTCCAATGACAAAAATATTTCTTTGGCATAAAAACAATAAATCCTTAATTTTATATACCGTACAGTGGTCCCTCGGTTAACGAGATTTCTGTTAACGAGTTACCTTCCATAAGTTTCTTACGAGCCGACCTCAACATGTTTTCGCTTGCATTTGGCGGTCCACCAGCTGTAGTATTAGTCTGCCAATACATTAACCGGTTCTAGGGCTTAAATTCCTTACCATTTTAGCAAATATCAAGAAGTTTATACTATTCACTAATTTTAAAAGTTTAATATTAAATTTTTTAGTCATTTTAACAATTATTGAACATAAATGAAGGTAATGAAACTTGTTTTATGCGCGCCATCCAGCCTCTCAACACACCATACAGGCGTCAGTCTTTGTGTCTTTTCAGTGGAGGTAACATCTTGCTTGAGACTCTCCAACTAAATGCTTTTTTCTGTGTTTCCAAGCAAATTATTGGCCATTATGAAATATATTTTACATATTGACAATATATAATGCAGTGCAGTGTTGATTTAAAGAAAATAATCTTGAATTATACCAAGAGAACTAAAATGTTATGGGTGAAATGGCGCCAATGGGGTGACTTCTCTTCCACCCCAATGCCTTCTCTTCTTCCTTCTCCTCCACCCCCATTCTAAATCCCATCATCATCATCATCATCATCATCCAGGAGCCTCCTACATACACACCTCAAAGTCAGTGTATTTTTCTACCTTTTTTGTTGAATTTAGGCAATTTTCAGTGAGCTGGAACCAATTACCCAAAAACCCATTGAAACAATGGTTTCGGTTAACGAGCAACCTTCTAGAACGGATTGTGCTCGTTAACTGAGGGACCACTGTATATTTTTTAGACTAAGCATCATACACATTCTCATTTAACATATTTTATAATTTGCCCATAAATGAAGAGCATTGAGAAAAAAACTGTACAGGAAATTCATAGTACAGATAATAGAGACAATAAATGGTAAAATTAAGGGTAGGAGGGCCAGATGAAGCCAGAGATTGGGATGGATGAAGTAAATCAAAAGTGGAGATCCAGCAGATAAAAAAATCTGGAAGGATTGATAATTACAGGTACTGTACAGTGAAGGGCCATGGTCACTAGCCATCTGCCATCAGGATAGCACCATATATTTTGATATCTAAAAATACAGAAATCCCAGGAAAAAACTTGAATGAAACAGACTTCACTATTTGCAACAAAGTAAATAAAGCAAAAATATATATAGACACTCGAGAGAGTGAATCTACAAATGCACTTGCCCCTATGATGGTCTCACAAAACATTTGCTTAGTCTGCCTCAATCTCCCTCCCCCCACCCCCCTTTTTTTGGTTACTATGCCTGACAGTAAATCATTCTTTCATTGTCACAATAAATGTGTGCATCATTCATTGGTAAAACTTTTGAAAATAGTGGTAACATGGCGATAACTTTGGCCCAATACCACACATGGGAACAATATCTATGGATTGCACCACATGTAGTTTATTGTTCACACATTACAATAGCAAACATAACTACCTGGATCTCGAAGGGGTCGCCGGTAGGGGGTCGAATCTTGACTGTGAAACCATATTCTTGTGATAGTGATCCATCCTTGTCTTCTTTAGTCTTGTCTTCTTTAGTCTTGTCTTCTTTAGTCTTGTCTTCTTTAGTTTTGTCATCTTTGCCTTTGTCTTCTTTATTTTTGCACTCATCTTTATGATCTGTATCAGTAGTTCCTTCTGTCTTTTCCTGAGTTTCTGTCTCCGCCTTCTCATGGCCTTCCCCAGTTTCACAATCACCTCCAGAATTTACTGAAAAGGACAAAATCAGTACAGGCTATTTTGTTTTCATTTAAATATTAACCATATCCCAAGAGAAGAAAAAACACATAAAACAGAGAAGTGACCAACTGCCCGACCGGCCAGTAAGCTGGCAAATGGCAATACCGGTAAGGATAAAGTTAGATGTAAAATGCATCCTCACCAAGATGTGAAGCACACTACCCAGTACCTGACTAAAGAAATGGGTGGTGGCGAGGATATTAATTATCATTATGGGTGGTAAAAAGTGTGAAATTGGTTGCAATGTGGAGGTTAAAGGTTCCCACTGTAACCAACCTAAGTTCTTCACTTCACATTGAAGCCACAGCAATTTAAGTGGTTTAAATAGAGATAATTAAATGTATTTCAACTTATAGAAAATATTGAGTGCTAGTAAAGACGCACCCAAACATTGTTACAATTTCACCCATGAATGGTAATCTGATCGTCCTGTATAATACCGTACAGTACTGTGTCAAAAGCTTAAAGCAACCTGCCCACCTTCTCCAAATATTGTACAGTACAGTAATCATAAGATAAGTACCTGTATTAGTAATACTTAGCTAATGGATAATATTTAGTGGTTCTGTACACAGTTGATTACATTAGCTATTGAAATACAAGCAGATCATTACCTAAAGTATGTTTACGATTTACAACCAAACTTGAAGAACAATAGGAAGATTTCTGAATCGCCATCCCTCAATTTTTCTTCGGATAAACACAAGATGAAATATATTTTCTTCAGCACGTGAAGTGGCACAGGAGCGGATCCAGGAATATAAAAAGGGGGGTGGGGGGGTCCAAGAAGTTGTGGGTGGGGGAACATGGCAGGCACAGCAAGCCCATCCACCTGATTGGGGGGCACTATAAGCCCTCCAAAAATATTTTCAAGAGTTGACCATTATCATGGGCATTTTGAGGGAATGTGCACTTGATATTAGGAGATATTCTGAGGTCAATAGTAATTACATTTTACCTTAATTTACTATAACTGAAAGTGGAAGACATTCAGAATAAAAGAACAGTTTCAACAAAGGTACAGCACAATACTACTCTTTTATTTAAGAGAAATTTGCAAATTATTACATAGAAATAAAATTGAAGTTAGTCATGAAGTACAGAACCATAATACTGTACATCCTTCGGAAATTTTTCTGAAAGAACTTTTGGCAAATGGCATCTATGCCAAAATCACAGCTCTGGTGAAGGTGCAGCAGCAGGAGGCCAATGAGTTGCTCTGACATGGTGGCTCGCAGGAATGTTTTGTTCTTCCAAGTACACTAAATAATCTTCTGCTTCACAGCTTCTAATTGGTACTGTGCATCCTATTCTAAGCAGGATGGCAATATTTGGAAACTGATCCCCATCCACCACCTTAAGTCATCTAAGCAGGCTGGTCGGCAACTGGTCAGCATTCTGCCTCTAAAACCAGAGTTACACACACTCAGATCTATGTTCTGTGACTAAAGATATCAGATACAAAAAGGACTGACACTTGGTAAATGTCCTGATATCGTTTTTGTAGTTTTGTTGCCAGAGATCAAAGAACTTCCAACATGCTTCTCATAGTTTGGAGAGCCACGGTGTTGGTAGAAGACCCCACGTTGAATAAAGAGTCCTTGAGCCTTTACCCTGGTATCACGATCCCAAGACCAATCTTCAATCTGATCAACATCAACACCCTCAGTTTCATTCCTTCTGTACTTCTCTGGGAATGATGGTGGGTCAATAATGCAATCCAGGGTAAGAGCCACATAAAAGTACAGTTCTTGAAAAGTATCAAGACGTGTATGTCTTTCCACACATCATGTCTTACAGTTCTTAAAGTTTGGATAATCGCCTTGAGTCTGTATTCTTCTCCAAAACTCAATCCAGCATTCTTTGTCATTTTGGTGAAAGGTCAAAGAACAAAAATATTTTGTTCAGAAAATAAACCATGTTATGGATGGAAGCAACCCTGTAAGAAGATGCAATGCTCAGATTTAACACATGACTAAATATGTGTATAATGCAGTTGGCACTAGGCTTTTGATTCTGCCATGAACTCTTGCCTTTCCTGATGACATGACACTTGCTCCACCATAGGACTGTCCACGAATTTTATGTATGTCCAGACCACTGCTTCAGTGAAGAAATTATAGCATTAGTTATACTCACACCATTTACACATTCTAGATGAACAAAATCAATTAAGATTTCCTTGTTTTCTGATTTTATTTGATCCACAAACCTTAAACAAACTTCCTACTTCTTGATTAGCAAATTTATCTGTAACTTCATCTGCGATGATAGAAAATACTGCATCATCATCCATGAGAGGTTTTTTAAGGACAGAAACAGTGTAATCAATAATGATTTTGATAATTTCATTTTGCACCATCTTTGAGGTACACTGGTAGTTTTTCCTGCTATTAGGAAGTGATCTTGCAGTATTTTATCACTCTCAGCTGGTAGATCTAGCACTGCCAAGAAGTTCCCTTTGTTTATAGATTTTGATGATGAATCATCCCTATGGCCTCGCAATGGAATATCTTGCCTTGACTAAGTCTCAATATGTGTAGGTTCTTCTCAAATAGCTCGTTTTTTTCTGAGATGATACCAAATATGTCACTGAATTTGTTGGGTCCTGATGAAGCTGACATAGTGTAGCTCCAGCCTATCTCGGAAGTCATCTTTCCCAGTGGCCTTGCTTAGGTTGGTGAACGACTTGGTTAACAAAGCTCCTGTTTTATTCATGCAGGAATCTTTTGGAGTGATAACACAATACTTGCAGAATTCATCAGGTGTAACATCACTGTATACAAGCCACTTTTATTTATCAAGCCAAGATGATTGAAATATCAAGGTCTTCACTGGAGCATTTTTTTCCTTTTACTAGTTTCACTTTAGTATTTATAACCAGTGTATGGCCTAAAATGTGTCTTCAGGTATTTAACTTTGTCATTAATAGACAGAGTTAAGTTTGACTTTACCACTTACAATATTTCCTACATCATTATCTTTGCATGAGTTCTGCAAAGTGCTCTGTGAATCATTGTCAAGAACTTGATAGTCTGACTTTTGCATGTTCCTTTCAGGGGTAGGACACAACACTGCAATAAGTTTACATGATGTAATTTCACCAGAGCAGAGTTCTGGTTGTACTGATTCCAATGTACGAAGATACCGGCTCCGTCCTCTTTGATCGAACTCTTGGAATAAACTGAGCTACTCTGCCACCTCACTGTGACTGACATTCACTTATTAATCTAGGACATCACCTAAACACACGTGCAGCCCCCATCCGATTACTTGACCTAGATGGTGGCCGTGTTAATCTTTGACATAAATGAAATCGATAAACTGTGAAGCAATCATTTTTGTAAAGTAAATCAATGTAACTCTTGGAACAACCTGCCAGAGTGTTGTGACAGCGCCAAGTGTGTGCTCTTTCAAGGCCAGACTTGACCAACACTGGAGCAGGTTCAGATACATTCAGGATCCAGTGCATGTCCAGTACTTACCAACACTGCGTAACAGAGACATGATCGATCGGTGAACAGAAATAGTCTCAGACGTTTCACTTTAATTAACACCTCTCCTGTGAGCTATTGCTGTATGGCAAACTATCGTGGGCCCGGAAGCTGTTAGGTACAGGCGTAACCCACCGCCCCTCAGATCACTTTGAGCTGATAATCCGAGGTCAACTGGTGTGGTGAACTACCGGATCAGGTCACTTATGGCACCAACTGTCGGGGTACACCTCGTGAAGGGTCAACTGTAGTGACCTAACATAAGCGTGTAGGTGATATGCAAACTTTATATTATTTTTTATAACTAGGGAGGATATTTACAAAGGTGGGCACGCGCGACTTTTTTTTTTTTTTTGCTCCGCAACTGTAACTCTGCTGACACAGTTGCACCGCAACCATTTTCAAAAAGTTTCGCCGCACGCACAACCGCAACTTTAAAAAATAAATAAATAAACATACTAAATTTAAAAAAAATTGCCTACAGTACTTACAAGTAAAACAAAATATAATTGATACAAAAAAGTTAATATTATCAATATTTAATTACAAAATTACAAAACAATGCCTCACTGCCACTGGCCTCAGTCTCAGTGGACTGGCTGTCAACAGTCTCAGTCACTTCAACTTCCGTGTCCATGTCCTGGTCGGCAGCGGCAGGATCACTGCTGCCGGCCACAGACTCCTCCTCGTCACAAAACGATCCATAATACTTGTAATAACAAGAAACAAAACAACAAGAAACTGACGCCTTAACTGCAGTGTTACTGACTGCCTGACTGGTTATGATATGAATCATTCCTCCCTCCCATTCCCTCGCTATAGTTGCCAGATTTCATCTTTCACATTAACACTAGTTTCTAGAGTTTATGTGAAAGATGAAATCTGGCAACTACAGCGAGGAAAGGGGAGTGTGGGAGTGATGGGGGGAGGAGGTCTCATCTGGTTTACAGTTCAGAAATATGCTGCCCGACCTGTATCATGTGAATGCTAAATCATTCCGTCAGAAACAGAAATTTTCGTAATGCGCGGTTCTAGGGATGCCCATTTGTTTATGCGGTCGTATTCCAATTTTCAATTACTGCCGAAAAATTTAGCGCGTTGCGCTTGAAAATGCTTGTAAAAGTTGTGCCGCAACCAGTTCCGTAACTCTCTGGAAAAATGTGCGGCGCAACTGCCCATCGTAACCAAAAATAGTTGCGGCACAAGTTGCACCGCAACTTTTTGTGGTACAACTGCCCACCTTTATTTATTTTTGTCAAGGAAAGTTAGTGGAAAAGTAATATAGCAATAATATACATATAGAAGATTTTATAGTATAAACTGCAATAAATATACATTTAGAAAAATATATAAAATTTTGTGATACAAAATTGAAGGAGTACAATAATGCATTAAAGAAAAAGGGTTGGAATTTTCTAATGAAAAGGGGGGGGGGGTTCCAGACCACCAGGACCCCCCCTTAGAGCACCCTCCCAA